TCCCGAAAGCCGAGAAAGCTTTCAAAGGTTGAAACCAGGAATCTTACCAAAACACTGAGCAGGATATTATTGCCTTACCACCCAGGCCCAACATAACATTATGAAACCCACTGACGTCCTCACAACTTCTTGAACTTGTCACTTCAAAAAACGATACCTCGTTGACCCTCTGCACAGTAAACTGTAATGCAAATAGGCTTTTATAATTTTTATATTAAAAGTCTAGAATAAACAGTAAAAAATATTTGCGAATAAAATTCATTAGCTGCGTATCGAAAAGTGCCAAAAACTGAACCTGACATCTTCGCAAAAAGTGATGCGCGTAATGAATGTGAGAAGCATTTAAGCTTAAATTCAGCTTGGGCGTTGTAGTCACGGTCGTCTTTTGAGCTAAGTTTATGAATGAATTAACAAACTCAAAAAAATAGACAGAGAAGCCGTTTCTTGAAAATTTTTATTCAAAATCCAAAAAGTTAATCCTTTAAAGCAATTCGGAAAACACTATCTGGATCGTCGATCCGTTCACGCAAGTGACATCGCCTGAGCACATGGCAAAATTCAACACAAAATCCATCTCAAATCGGGGCACATTTTGTAATTTTTCTTTAGCGCCGAAGAAAAAAATTTATAAAAACGTCTATGAAACATTTTAAAAGACATAAATTCCCTTCCAAAAACGTAATTGTCTTGGCCATAGAGTGCAAAATGTAAATGAAAATTCAGCAAAAACGTCGCTGCCTTGGTTGCATTTCAAAACAGACCATGGGCTCCGTCGTGAAGAAAACAAAGTTGAATTCCTCGAAGGACGATTTCTTGATGAAAAGCTTCCCTTCCTCCACAAAAAGGAAGCTGAGCATTCTTTTGAACTTTCTCTTTCCATTGTTTGTCTTTTAACGGTGTGTTTTTAACCTTGAAATGCTGAACTCTTGTCTTAAAACATCTGCATGGTGATCGCGCGGCGGCCATTTTGTTGAAAATGTATATCTGACACTAAGGTTTCCAAATATGGTAAAAGTGAATATTCACGAGCATTGAACGCGAGTTACACGTTTCAACCCCTTATGAGTTTCTGGTATAACTGAGGCATACGCTCTCGCGTACATTAAACTGTTCCTTAACCTAGCTTTTAGAACTGGTACCAATGGCTGCCAGTGTGAGAGAATCGTCCTCAGTCACCATCGAGAAAAAGACAACCCTGGAGAGTGTTGATTCCCAAGAACCACCACAGTCTTCGACCTTCCAAGACCAAAAGGCTCAACATGCAGATGTCACGTCTGGCAGTTGGCGTAAATTGGCGTTTGGACGGAAGAGACGAAAGAAGGCAGACAAACCTGCGATTGAACGGCTTCATCCTGGCTTTCAGAAACTAAGGAAAACTCTACAAAGCCAAAATAGTGTCAGGTCAAGAACTGTCCAGAATGTGGGGAAGGTACTGGAAAGAATGGACAAAGAGTTACAGGAAATAGGTGTAGCGGAACATCAATTGATGATTGACGATTTTGAAACAACGCATGACTCATCTGCTGTTTCTGGAGAGCAGCCTCGCGTTAGGCCTTTAAGTGAAATGGCATTTAAGAAGAAAGCCCAGAAAACAGGTGTGGAGCGACTTTATCCTGGATTTCAGAATCTAAAGAAAGACGTGGACCACCCAAACAGTGTTAAATAAAAAATAGAGAGACATTAGAGACATCTTCGGGAAAGAACGAAAGCAAAAAGGTCGGAAAAAGAGGAATCTGGGCTCCAATTTAAAAACCCAGTTGCAAAAGATGAAGTTAACAAGTCGCCGAAAACTGTCATACAGCAACTTTACTTTTCTTGAGAACCTTAAGAAAACTGTGGAACAGTCGAACAGTGTGAGATCAAAAATTGGCGGGAAAAAGTGTTAAATAAAAAATAGAGAGACATTGGAGACATCTTCGGGAAAGAACGAAAGCAAAAAGGTCGGAAAAAGAGGAATCTGGGCTCCAATTTAAAAACTTAGTTGCAAAAGATGAAGTTAACAAGTCGCCGAAAACTGTCATACAGCAACTTTACTTTTCTTGAGAACCTTAAGAAAACTGTGGAACAGTCGAACAGTGTGACATCAAAAATTGGCGGGAAAAAGTGGAGCCGAAAGTTGCTTAGTCGGAATAGTAAAAGATTAGAGAGAAAAGACTCAAACAGGGAAAATTAAGTTATAACACCAAGTAATACAATTAACACGCTAGACCTTTTATATGCATTGGATGTTAATGCATTTTTGCTTATTTTGATCTTTCTTCACCCCCTTCGATATTGGAAAGTTGACGCTAAAACAGAGTGCTTAGAGATTTTTGACAGTAATTTCACGGTTCAGGCCGTACAGCTTGTGAATCGAAAAAGACAGTTTTCGTTGAAAAAAACAACGTCAGTCTCGAACAGTCTTTAACGATGTATATACAGAAGGTTTTCCTTGATATAATAAACTGATTGATGGTCACGTGTTATATTCTCTGTGTTTTCCTCAAGTTATCATGTAATTGTTTTCAGTTCTTTCAGCAGCCGTATTTCTCGGCACTGGGAACTCTTCTTCGAAAATTGTTTGCGGGAGCTTTTTCCTCCACTGTTCGGGAAGTTAATGCGAAATCTGTAAGAGCGTTATCGAGATGTTTTGGGATGAAGTTTTTGTGGATAGAAATACGGTACGTAAAAACAGGACAATCTTGATGTTCGGCCCTTATCTGTAGAAAATGAAGCGCTTTTGAAATGCAATTTCGCCTCATAGTAGTTTCAATCTTTTTAAGGTGGCTGAACACAGTTTTGGGGGCAGTCAGCGGTACAAACAAACATGGCGGCGAAAAAAGCAATGGTACACAGAAGACGATTTCTCAAAATCTACTCATCAAAATTTTGTGATATTTGGCAGAATTTTGACTTTTGTCGTATTCTAAATAAAGAGAACTTTAAAATGAAAGTTGAACAGACGAATTTTGTGATACATTTAATAATTACAATACAATTATATTATTGATTATCTGAAAACCTGTCTGTTAAAATTTGGTCAAATAAGTTTAAAATGGTAATGATTAATTATAGTAAGCTGTGCGCAAGTTTATAGGAAAATCTAATGAGCGAATTTTATGTAAGCTGAGCAAAAGCGAAATTTCAAGAGGTTGTCCGCATAAGAACCGATAAGACAAATTTCGGTCTACCACGGATTACCCTGATTTTTTCAGTGGACGATAACTATCCTATCACATGAAGAAATATCACATTTATTTGGACCAACTCAATTTTTTCTCTATATTACAGAAAGATTTTCTCGGTCACCTAAAACTAGCCAGTTTGCCGTCGGAAGTGGTGCGATTTTGGTGAAACTTTAGGGCTCTGTCAAACCTACCTTACATAGCCGAATAAGCTGATTATTTTAAACACAACCGTTTTAACTGTGATTAATAGGTTCAAGGTTTAATGGTTGCATTCTGTGGAAAGTTGGCTGAGATATGATTTTTTTAAAATGACCTTTAATTTGGTCAGCAGGAAAAGTAATTTGCATAACTAGAGCTGAACGGTAATTTCGCAAAAGTGGCACCTGACCCAGACTCAGGTCTATGATAAATCAGAAGTACTAAGACCAGTCTACTTCTTAACGCAATAAAATTTGTGGGCACTCTTCTCTGCGTGCCGTGCAAAGTTCCGTTAATGATCCAAAATTCGCCATTTTGACAGCAAAGCTGGAATTGTAACGGATCCGCATCTGATCGACTAATTTCCACAGCTTTAACGTTTCTAGTTATCACTAAATGTCATTAGACCCTTTAAATGTTGGACATTTGAAAACATGTGGAGAAAACTTAGAAATCGCTTTTCCTTGGGTCTTTTTCTTGTCGACGATGAACGTGACTTCATTCTCCGTATGCAAATTAGCTTTAGATGGGTTGTTTCAACAAATTGACAGGAAATATAATCCTTACATTTCACATTTCTAAGGGGAAAAATAACTCTCCTTTCCACAGAAAAACACAAACCATGACTTGGAATCCCCTTAAGGTCTGTTTGTTTTTTTTTTTAACGAGGAAAAAGCAGCTGAATAATATATCATGATATACGTTTGCGTGGCTTAAAATAATTCAATTACTGTGGCCTGTCACGCATTCCTTAAGAGGGGTGGTCGACTAGAAAACAATAGCGTTGTGTCGATCAATTCTGTAATATTGTCATCTTTTTTTTTTTTACATGACAGTTATTGATAATGATAAAAAATAAGAGTTCACTTGCAAGGTAAGTCCTCTTGTCAGCACACGAAAATTTTTGGGCACTCTTTTTTGCGTGCCTTAAAAAATAGCCTTAACGTCGAAAGCTTTATGATAATATTTGCTTATCAGGAGAAGGCAGATCTTTGTACATGGCACTATGATAAAAAAAATGCCCCACACTTTTTCTATCTTAAATTAGCAATAAATTTCAGTTTTATTCAAAGATCTTTAAAGCGTTTATCGGTAGCAGAATGAAACGGAAAAAATAGTTGCTTTTTTCAATGAATAAACGCAAAAGGGAGTATCTTTCTAGTTTTTGTTAGGGTATAACATCCGAATTCCAACGATGACCTTGTTTTGGTTTCAATCTGATTGAATTATAATGCAACAGGTGCCAGTTTCAAATATGAAATCGCCGAAGAGATCAATTATGAAAAATGGCTTTTTCGGCTATTTCATCAAGCAGTTCTTCCGCGAGATCGTAGACAGAGTGAGGTCCCAGTAGGGGTGTGGAGGAAAATGTGTTGGTCACAGAGTGCATGGATGATATTACGTCGCACTTAGCCAACTGTCACTTGTCTAAGTTTAGTAAGTGTAGCAAAGACAATGAAAATGAACTCATTTTAGCGAGAGTACGTATTCGAGGCTTGGTGGGTATTCGGAACTGAAATGACAATCTGCCCAAGGCACAGACACCTACTTGGCAGGTTTTTGCGAGCGCCAAGGTCTTGTTAGGCTCGATTGTAAGCCGCTGATCTGGAAAAGAGCCCCCAACGGACGGGGAGACGGCGGAAATCGAGCCTAAGGTCTTATCAATTTCCCGGTCACACTCTGGATCATACTGGCAAAATAACTTCTGTGGCAGGAAGACATGTCGTAAATTTCCAGATAGCCAGCGAAAAAAGTCAAAGTTTTGTTCCATCACGTAAGTATCATTCTTTTTTCTTCTTCATGCCAAAAAGTTTCTTAACGTAACGATACATTCTAATTTCTCTATTTAACATTTTATCCTGCGATGTTTTCTGAAAAGTTCGTTTCCAGTTTATTTGAGCTTGCAAAGATAGTTTTTGTTATTTCTATTTTTTTGACAGCCGTGTATCTCATCTGCCCTAATCAATTAATTCTTACCTTTAAAATACTATACATGCCGGTTAATCCGTGTGATGTAAAAGATAGGTTTTTGATGATTGTTTGAAGAGCATTATAAATGGGGAAAAAAGAACTTTCTACACGGAGTCAGGATTCAACCTCGTCCCCAGGGCTCCCCCCTCTGCAATTTTCTAAGAAGAATGTCCTGGGGATGAGGCTAGGAGTGATTGTGGTCGAGGTGTCGTTCACATGTATGAAAAGTATTTCATTCTTGCAATAATATAGTGTTTAAAACATGTCTCTGATTTTGTAAAAGTTAGGGAGAATTAAAAGTACCTTAGTGTTCAGTTCAACTTTATATAGCCGATTTGCTCCCCGATCCTGTCGCAAGAAACTTAAAAAAAATTTGACGCCGAAGGGTCGAGAAGAGTACAATTGAACAGTCAGCAACCATGTCCACACATTTGCCGGAGAGGTTTATTGGACAAGATTTCTCTGTTTTTCTTGTTTTGATAACGTTTTCATTAAGTCTTCAAAAATGCCTCCAGATTGCTGTTTTTTTTTTTTGGATTTATACCCTCTTGAACAATGTGCTCCATCTCATCTCTCCATTTTTAACCTACTTTACCATCCACCCTCTCTCCGCACTGTTCTACCTCTGCTTTTACAAGCATTTGTACTTAAGGGGGTGAAATTTCTCCCGTATATATTAATTTCTGAAAAATTAAGTCCTTCTACTTTTTCCTTAAATTCTTAAACTTAGTTCTTTTTTCTTTAAGAACCGCCAAAGATGCTGCTAAGGCTGCAATAAGCGCACTCGCCCTTTTATATACTTCATCTAGTGAAATGTCCACCCTTTCATATACCTGAAGCCTAAAAAAAAAGATACGCCTCTTGGGCGGAACCTCCCCGTATAGGCCATCATAGGAAGTTTCCCCCACCCCCGTACCAATTTCGTGCTCACCTATTGCCAGCCCATGTTGGACTCTAGGCCCGCTTGAGTCAACACGTTAAACATAGTCCTAAGTGTATACAAGTTGAACTTGACCATAGAGATCTGTTGCAAGAAAACGAGGAGTTCGAAAGGCAAAAGCTTGTTGCAGAAATCGCTGAAGAATTGAGACCACAACACCCTCAACCAGAAGCTAGTGTGTATGTCAAAGGAAGAACAACCTTGTCAGTTCAACGTGGTAATGCTAAAAAACTCTTGTGTCACTTTAAAATACCATTCAAATCCAGGGAAATAAAAGGAGACCTAATTGACAAACTTTCGTCTTTCATACAAGATTGCACGTGCTTTTCTCCATCAGCTCAGGAGTCAACATAGGGATCTTTAATTTAGTGTGATTAACAGCCGGCAAAAACTTTTGGGATTTAACAGAAGACGGACCTTAAACAATAACTATGCCTTTTTCTGCATGCCATTCCTCACTTTTACTCAAATTTTTGTTAATTGGCGATAAACTAATACCACCCTAAAGTTTGTAGGGTAGCCTACAGTTAGCTAGGGATCTAGGAAATGTGTGTGCTGCTTAAAGGACTTTGCAGGTGTGGTCCTGTGGTGTCGCACGGTATTTCTGAAGTTGTTTGCGAGCTATTTCCAAAATATTAATTGTTAATTCTGTAATTGAAAATATTGTGCTAGTGCTCGTGAATAAGAGTGGCCGGTCCAAGTGACTACTTTGTAGCTAATTGTCGTGTATTACATCATGGGCTGTCATATTAAACCCTATCCTCACGGTGGCGCCCGGGGATACTGACTCAGTTAAAACGGTCGTAGAATGAATAAATACAACAGCACGGTATTTCCCACCCAGTAAAGAATCGGAATTAACAGTGATTAAATTGTATGATTATCAATAACTATCACTTCAAAAAAAGTATACATCAGATAAAAGAACTGATCGATACACGGCCACTCTCGGGGAATGCGTGACGGGCCATAGTAATTAAATCATTTTAATTCGCGTAAACATATCTTTTTCTACTGCTTCTTCCTCGTAAAAGAAACAGACCTAAGGGGATTCTAAGTCATATATCGTTAATGTTTTTTCGTGGAAAGAAGAGATATTTTTCCCTTAAAAATGTGAAATATAAGCAGTGATGTCAATTTGTTGAAACGACGCATCTAAGGATAATTTGCATACGGAGAATGAAGTCGCGTTCTGATCGTCGACAAGGAAAAAAACCGAGAAAAAGCGATTACCAAGTTTTCTCCTCATGTTTTCAAAAGTCCAACATTTAAAGGGTCTGATGACATTTGGTGATAGCTAGAAACGTTAAAACTGTGGAAATTAGTCGATCAAATGTGGACCGTTACAATTCCAGCTTTGCTGTCAAAATGGCGAATTTTGTAACATTAACGGAACTTTGTACAGCGCGCAGAGAAGAGCCCACAAATTTTATTGCATTAAGAAGTAGACTGGTCTTAGTACTTCTGATTTATCATAGACCTGAGTCTGGGTCAGGTGCCACTTTTGCGAAATTACCGTTCAACTCTAGTTATGCAAATTACTTTTCCTGCTGAGCAAATTAAAGGTCATTTTAAAAAAATCATATCTCAGCCAACTTTCCACAGAATGCAACCATTAAACTTTGACACTGTTAATCAGAGTTAAAACTTTTGTTTGTAAAATAATCAGCTTATTCGGCTATGTAAGGTAGGTTTGACATAGCCCTAAAGTTTCAGCAAAATCGCACCAGTTCTGACGGCAAACGGGCCAGTTTTAGGTGACCGAGAAAATCTTCCTGTAATATAGAGAAAAAATTGAGTTGGTCCAAATAAATGTGATATTTCTTCATGTGATAGGATAGTTATCTTCCACTGAAAAAATCGGGGCAATCTGTGATACAGCGAAATTTGCCTTATCGGTTCTTACGCGGACAGCCTCTTAAGGTTGTATTCAATCGTTCATGTTGCCATGGAAACAACGAAAACGTCACATTTTACCTGTCGATCAAAATCTATCATCAGTATATTTTTCACTTGCCAAGTTTCAGCTTGTGAGCTGCGACGTTTCTTTTGCCATGATCTGACAAATGACATATACTCACAAACTGCCAAAACTGTGTTCAGCCACCTTAAAAACATGTGTGAAAGATCATGGAGATATTAGCTTTATCCGATGGCTAGAAAGAAGGATTTGCTTAATATGTATCAAGGCGCTCTTGGTAGGTGTTTTATAAACATTTTGGTCTCTTTTAACAATACTGAGCAAATGAAAGTAGCGAATTTACCATGTATGGATATTGCCGTTTGGAGTGAGCGTACGAGAAGTTCATAGTTTACAATTACAGCTTTGAAGACAAAATTTTAGCCTTTATTAAGCCAAAAGTGAAGTGTTAGAAGTACTTAATATGAATCAGAAAAATGTTTTATACCTGATATCTTTTTCTTAAACCTGTCATCATTTCGTCAATTATTTATGTTTGTCAGAAAAAAGTCACATGACCTGTCACGTGACTTACTGAAACGATTGTTTTTGTTGGTTTTCACATGATGACGTCACTAAAATTCAAACTACAAAACTATCGATCCTACTGAGATTTTACTTTCATGATATATTAGAGCGGCTGAAAACTAATGTTCATACAAATTTTCGCTTCCAAAGGGTTCTTGGAGCTGTTCTTGGTTTTGTGTTAGAGTACCCTTGAATTTCTAAACTTTTGCGTGACGCGGCTTTTCCATGACGGCCAAGAGAACTGTAATGTAGGTTTAAAAAGTGACTTATTTCAGCGCATTTTGCTATTTTAAACGGTTAGTGTATTAGAAAAAGTATTATCTTAATGTTTTTTAGTTCCTCGAGGGATAAATTCACGCTTTTTAAGCAAAACTCGCTAACAGCTGTTTTTCTTAATCAACAAATGTTGTTTTTCTGTTGGTTTCCGTCCGCCATGTTGGTGCCCATCCAGGTGGACACCAGCATGGCGTCTCCATACAAATCTCTATAAATTCGGGTAAAACATTTTTTCGGATATCTCGTACACAAGATATTCCTTTGACCCGACAAAATCTGTGAAGAGATTCCTACTAACATAAAAACACTCAGCTACTACCAGGTCAAAAAACTTAACTGATTGTTTCACATCATCGTCCATATTTGCCATGGCACCTAATGCACATATTAAGTATTTCTATTCACATTACAGCGGTGGTTAGCTTGAAAGCTAAGCTCCTTTGACCACCGCACACTTCTATCAAAGCCATTAATTTTTCTCTTTTGTTCTTATCTCTTATTTGTTATTTTATTACTACGTCATGCTACGTTATTATATATAGTCTAAATATTATATACAAGTGTGAACAAACTGACCTGACCTAAACTGCACTCAAAAAGTCACTGACCGTAAAAAAACGTTGATAATTTTATGCGTGCACTAGTCACAATGACGACAGCTCACACAACATGAGCTGTCCCACTTAAATCGATGTACTGCACCTGTGGAAATTTAACATACAATTTCATGCATTTTCTAGCTGCTTGAAATAATCGAATGCAGCGGATTCCGAGCCAGAATAAAAGAAAACATTTCATTTGTTGATCAGTTATTATTAACATTAACGCTAGCCCAACCTCCATTCAGGGGACAGCTCTATTCAGGGGACTCTTGCCTTGGTCCTGAATACAGGTTCCACTTTATGTAGTACAACCCTCGTCACCAGTGTCTTTTAATATAGCGGCGGCAAAAAGAACTGAGAACGAGATTGGTATGTAGATGCTAGCTATTTCTGCCTTGACAGACGGTGCAAGTTTTATAAGGCACAATGTGCGTACGAAAAAAAAATTATTGAGCATGGCCAGGAGCTCCAAACATAACTTGGAACCCATTTTCCTTTAATTTTGGGGCTTTTATAACAATTCTATTCTAGAACTAAACACTCCATGATAAATATTTTTTAAGCTGCTATGATTTTCTATGCGTGAAACCGCCCCATCGCCCCAAGGGTTTCGCGAGTCCTTCAAAATAGATCAAATAACGAGTTTTGCTACAAAAGGGTGAATTTACTCCCAGAGGAACTCATAACCATTAAAGTAATACTTAAGCTTCGTCTTTGGAAACAGCGCTCCTTTGCAGCTGCTAATAAGTTAAATCATTCGACAGATAAAGTCCAGAATCTGGCAAATGAAAGGAGGTAAATATACAAAGACCCTCGCCAAGATTTGGGTCGAAGGAATAATTCGCATACGAGATGTCCGAAGATATGACTTACCCAAATTGATAGAGCTTTGTATGGAGACGCCAAGCTGGTGCTCATCGGGATGAGCACCAACATGGCGGAAGTAAACCAACGGAAACATCTGTTACCGAGTTTTGCTACAAAAGGGTGAATTTACTCCCAGAGGAACTCATAACCATTAAAGTAATACTTAAGCTTCGTCTTTGGAAACAGCGCTCCTTTGCAGCTGCTAATAAGTTAAATCACCATGTAAATTTTCGATTTTAACTGTACAAAATTATATCGAAATAGTGCTTCCGTCCCTCCCATTGTTAGTGTAGAGACATTTCATGTACTTTTACTTATAGAGGTTGAGCACGATTCCTAGCTAGCCGCTGTTCGGAAAATGAGCCCGCGCAACAACACCTCGTTATGGCCGTATTCAGTAACGATCAAGTAATTAGGAATTTCCTTTAACGCTGTTTTCGGAAGTAAGAAATTTACATTAACAGAAGAGTTCCAGAAGAAATTATTATACTATTACCTTGGCAACCTCGTCCCCAGGGCTTTTCCCTCATTTTTTGAGGGAAAAGCCCTAGGGACGAGGTTGATTACCTTGGGGCACCTTGTGTGAGTCGATGACGTCAACGACTCCAAAACACAGCCATCTTATCTTACAATGGGCAGGACAGCAGGGTGGGAACCCGGGAGAATAGGAGGCGGAAGGGGTACGGGAAGCATGAGAGAAAAATGCGGGAGGTAGAGTTCTAAGAGGGTGGGAAGCGGGGGAAAAAGTATACATGGTATATGATCAAACAAATGACAGAAAAAAATTCCTGTAAAATTTCTATTTTTATTGTTAATGTTGTGATTTCAATTTCCATGCAAAGTGCACGCTTTAAATGTAATGTAATTCAAAATTCAAATTCGAACGGGGAAATCTGTCATCGCAATTCTCGGTGCGCGCGCCAAAAATTTCAAATTATTTGCATACTCACAAACATCCGCACCTATACGCCAGAAATCCTACACTTTCCCATCAATTCCGGCAATTAATAAGCAGGTCGGACACACTCTTTTAATCTGCCATTACTCGTAATTAGTTTTCTTTAAAATTTTACATGCAATTTGCGCGCTTATAATTAGCACGTCATCCTCTTCATTTGTTACGTCATAGACTAAATCCGACATAAAAGTCCGAAGTATGGCTGCCCTTTTGCGCAGGGTGACCTCGTTTGGACAGTTAATACTTCAGTTTTTGAGATGTGTCATATTTCAAACAGAAAAAGACAAATTTTTTGGACTTAAACGAAAAATTTCCGTCGCGGATGAAGAAACGTTTTTCGACATTTGCGGCTACCAGGGGGGCGAAGATCAATCATATATTCCAGAACGATTTGTCGTACTGTGTAACAACTAACTTGTCTATGTACGCGGACGATCATCAGATCTATCAAACAGGACGGGATCAGTCCTCTGTTATGTTAATGCTAAAGGAAAGTGCACAGCAAGCCACTAATTGGTACAACTCAAATCTTCTAGCCGGGAACTTGAAGAAATATCAAACTATGAACATCGGACATAGCCAAAGCGATAATAACACCACTCAAGTGATCAGATTAAACAATCATGATATTAGTATAACTGACTCTCTCAAATTGTTGGGTGTCACAATAGATTCTAAGCTGAATTTTTCAGAGCACATTAACATGATCTGTAAAATTGCCGGTCAGAAAATTGGCGTCCTTATGAGACATAGAAACTTGATTCCGACAAATGCTAAACTTATGCTTTTTAAAACAGCAATATTGCCGCACCTTACATATTGCCACCTTGTGTGGCACTTTTGCCGAGCCAGTGATTCTCGTAAAATCGAGCGGATGCAAGAAAGGGGCCTGCGTGCTTTTTTTAGGAACAATGTTAGCTACCCTGAACTTCTAAAAAGAGCAGAAATGCCAAGTTTACAGAACAGGAGACTACAAGACATTTGTGTTTTAATGTATAAAGCCAAGAACAATCTATGTCCCCCCTATATCAGTGACATTTTTATTAAGCATAGATCCAAGTATAACTTAAGGCAGTCTGATTTCTCCGCTGCCAGGTACAACACGGTAACATATGGTAAGCACTCCCTCCGCCACTTGGGGCCCAATCTCTAGGGAAAATCATCCCCAGACTTGAGAGAAGTTACCACCTTTTAAAAAAATGTTTCAAAAACAAAATACGTACATTAGATATAGTTACACTAATGGATAATGGATGCAAGTGTTGTCATCTCTGCAATTCATAGACATATTTGTCATACTGTAAATATTGTTAATGTCATTAATATATATATATATTTTTTATACCTGCGCTTATATGTAAATATTTTTTTACTTTAATTTATATTTATTTATTTTGTGTCCCCTAATTAGCATAGGCTTTTAACCTAAGCTAGGAGGCTTCTTTAGACACCTTAATAAAGTTTCATCATCATCATCAACGACTGCCCGTGAATGCGGTGCGAGGAAAGGCAGAGGTCAGGGTTTTCCTGTCGACAAAAAGTCAAGTTCAAGAAAGAAAAAGAGTTTTAGAAAAACAAGATTTCCTCGGCTGAGAAGATCGCATGGGAAGAAAGTGATGAGAAAAGTGCAAAAAATCTCGCACACCTTTTGTGTTTACTTCACGATCCTCAAAGGCTTCAAAACTAAAGAGAGATTTCTCAAAGTCTTCCTGCCGCGATGAACATGATGGAAAACGTTTCCAGCAAAGGTCACCCTTTGCTCAGAACGAAAAGAAGAAAATTCAGGATCCCAGACAAACTAAAGATGACGGTTGTTATTCCCTGACGTTGAAAGAAAATGAGAGCAAAAAACCAGGTTCCTTGGAGTAGCATGGTAATGAAAGTAATGAGAAGCCGAGTTCTGGGACTGTAGATGATGCAATGGAAAATTCCAAATTTCCGTTCAGTTTATTGTCAAAGGTGTCTTTCAGTTGGAAAAGGATACTTGGAAAATCTGAGGGAGAGACAACAGAGTGCTGTACGGAGGGGCCTACTGCCAACGATGACCTTCGTGAACAAGACTTCAATCAAGGAGACAAGTCATCAAAGGAAAGGTCGCCTTACGATCTTCATGGCGAACAGTGTACTGGTACTTGCGAGCGAAACGATGACGTAGATGTTCCGAAGACTGATCGTCGGTCTAAATTTCCACTTTGGTTGAAAAAAGGAAAGAGGGCAAAAACAAAGGAAGTGGAGAGCTTCATCCCGGATTTCAGAATCTTAAGAAAAGTTTGGACAGGCCAAACAGCATCAGATCCAAAATCCTGAACAAGTGGAGGAGTATTTTCAACCGAAAGAGGAAAGAGTTTGAGACAGAAAATTCCTGCGAAATTATTCAAGTTATTGAAGGGGTGGAGGATTCAATGAAAAACTCAGGTCTCGAGTTAAAACGTAACTGATTGCAAGAAGTTGCCCTTCCACGATAGGACAGGTACAATTAATGTATCACATGAAGTGAAATGGGACAGAGGTCCCTAATGAAAGGGCTGCCTCAAACCCTAGTCCAGAATTTCCAGGTTGAATACTTGGAACGACCTTAGTTACCTTTTCGTTAGAGCGAAAGTATTTTAGTACTTCTACGATGATTTATTAACATCTCCCAAGTCCTAGACAAGCCTGGCTGCTTGTGTTTCTCTTTTCGTTATATTGGCTTTGTGTTGTTTGTTCCTGTTGTTGTTTTGTTTTGTTCTATGGTTGTCAGGGTATTAGGCAGTTAAGCAAAAAATTGCAATAGTTCAGATGTAACTTCATCGTACTTAGGCGTCTCTCACACTACGCGCAAAGAACGGCGGGATGGTGAAAGATGGCTTTGCTCTCCTTTCTTACTCCTCCCATAAAGCTTCGCGCTTCTCTTATTTCCAGTCATTCACCTTGTGTCGCGCGAGTCTCGGAGCGCCTGCAGAGGAAGCTGTTAGTGCTTTATTGTAAGGTACTCAAGCTGTATTCATTACGCTTGGTTTCTAACCCAAGGTAATCATGGGACTCACTTGCAATCCTCCCAAGCCTGGCGATGAACCATATGAAAAGTTTTCAAAGGTATGCTCCTTAACTGTAGCTTAACCCAGAGAAACTCACGCGCCTCGCGTGATCATAATCAGCGCTACTTTATCGCTCGTGTAATATTTTAAAGGGGCTCTGTGACAGCTGACTAGTTTATATGGTTGATATAATGGCAATAACGAGTCATTATTCGCTACGGAACTTGAGAACTTAGTACTTAGTTGTGAATGACAAAATTAATAGCGTTGTATTATTCTTTTTTTCAGCTTGTCTCTAGTGCTCAGGCTGTAACTCGTTCCAGGTTTAAACTAAAATGTAACAATTTGAACCGTAGCTTTTCACCATACAGATAAAAGCAGTGAATAATACAATACTTAGTCACGTGACGCCTCTAATGCCCGCCTGGGATAGCCGATTTAACAAATAAAGCTTGTTCCTCTTACCCTGGGTACCAGAGGTTTTCTCGCGGGTGGCGGGATCCTTCGGCTCGCGGGTCGTAGCCACGAGTGGCGATAAAGATTTGAAAAACCGGAAGCAGTGCGTGAAAAGTCTCTGGCACGCAGGATAGGTTTCCATTGATTCTTTTGCCCAATCAAAACGTGAGATTCGAGTCTTACGCAAGTAAAGTTTGCCAAGTGCTGGAGTCGCTAAGGAACTAGATCGAGTTCATTTGGCAATCTTCTTATAAATGTATAGACTAGGAGTAATCGGAGCTTAGGGGGGTGCGTTCGATATGTTTGTTAGGCGTACAGGTAGCAGTTGAAGGGGAAGGGTGGTTGCAATATGGATAAGTATGATTATGGCATATTTTGAACTTAAGGGTTGCGTACGGCGAAACCTCTATTTAAACTGTGTATCATTATAAGAAGGTTTTGAAAAGATATCGTATGGTTAGGTGTCAAGTGCTTGTAATCGGAGGGGACATTGGCCAGAGTGCGTCGGGCGTGTAAATAGAACATTTTGTTTTACTGACGCGAGTTACAGGGCGCAGTTGCTCAAAGGCCGATTGCTTAACCCGGGATTCTTTTTCTTTCTGCAAAAACATTTCTTCGGACAATTTTCTCTGTTATTTTTAGCAGCATCCAATCATCAACTTGTTGACAAAATGAATTACATTGAATTTACTGTTTTAAAAGCTTTCACATCTGAAATCAAACTTCATACTAACCCTGTCAAAGCCTTCAATGGAGTGTGTGCGCGGCTCACGTCAATAACTTTTCCAGTAATTTGGTCGAGCGTGTTGATTTCAGTGACTCGAGAGTGGTTTATAAGTTTTTCCTAATAAATAACATAGAGTTAAAGTGTTCGTTTGTCCGGTGCCGAAAACATCACAAGTCATGATCAAATGGCGCCGCCGAGCTTCGCGTTAGATTTCAAGTACTTTGTGGCACAACGGCTGCGGAGCTACACAACTCGGTAGATTTACTTTGTGAAACAACGGCCGCCGAGCTACACAACTCGGTAAATTTACTTTGTGGCACAACGGCCGCCGAACTAAACCCGGTTTGATGCATGCATCATTAGTCGCAGACATTTCCCAAAGACAGGGACGAACCATGCTGAAAAATATGAAGGCTTAATCCAAAGTAAAATTTAACAGCAAACGTCTAAAAGATGAACGCCTTGGACGATTCAGCAAACGCAGATCGATGTACGCTTTACGAAGATTCAGCAAACTTTTTAAAAGATGACCGCTGTACGAAGACAGAATATTAGACCTCAGCAAACCTTTGAAAGATGAACGCCGAGGACACAAGAATCACCACGAGTTAGCGCGTCAAAGTGAGGCAAAATGTAAGCAAGCGCCCCAAAGCGAGGCAAATGTGTGTCGACGACGACGAAAATGCAATCTCAAAAAAACCTCCCTTATTAATTGCCAAACCGTTTCCCGCCGTTTTAGTTTTCACAAAAAGGCGTTCTTTGGTTAGGAAAAGTGAAAAAGACGCTATAGGCTCTCCCATCTTATTCAGGCTGCTGATAATGTCCCGCAAAATTAAAATTTCGCTTTCTCAACTTTCCATATTGCATTGCTAAATTCCATATGTCGTATCGATCTAGTAACAGTTCCCAGTAAAGGCTTCATCGAGGGATTCTTTGAAATACAGATATTCCCCTTACAAGGAAATTATGTATGTGGTCTGTTTGGTGAGCAAAGTGAAAGGATTTTGGGTGGACAAAAGTAATGTGTAATAATTTTTTTAGTTTACTGAGTTGTTTGTATTGCCATTGTTATTCAGGCCAAGGAAATGCCACCAGACGAGTTTTACTGCTGGTAGGGGCTGGAGAAAAGTGGAATTTGCATGATTCCTGGCCACGTTTTTGATATGGCAGGCAGCGGTAACAACTTTTACTATAGGTAAGATTTGAATTAAGGGCCATCAACTTCAGGTCGGAATTTTGAAAGTTTAAAAACCTCTCTGTGATATCATTTGCGCCCTTGTGTCACAAGGTTTTCACAGGCTTGTCTAATATATTTAGATTGATTAGATTGACTGCACCTTTAAATTTGGAAAGATCGCTCTCCCTAACCTCCCCCCCCCCTTTCCTACCACCACCACCACCAAAAAATAACGGATCATTATTGGTTTCTTGGAAACTGTCCACCTACCCCTCCCCTAAGCCATCATTTTGCTCTCAGTGCGAAGTAAGAGTTAATGTTGGCTTAGGGGAGGGTTATAGGTGGGCAGTTTCCCAGAAACCTATAAAATAAACAGGCAAAGGACACAACAGAAAAGGGTCGTCGACAAAAATCTCGTAATACCTTGCAAATTACCAATGTTTCTTTTGTTGCTCCTATAACCAATCAGAACGCATTATTCTCCTCATCTTGTACGTTCGCGGAACCACCCATATAACTAGTTATAATCATTGATTATGGATCCGCGTTCGTCTTATTCTACTAGCATGCCATCTGCACAAAAACGAGACTAAAGGAAACGAAAACGAGACCAAAGGCGTCCAGTTTCCTGCGGCCGAGATGCCCCTGATAAAATTAATAGGGGCCGCTAATCGGCAGTCACCCGTGATAGCTCGACAAATTCTGCCTTTGTACCACAGCAACACAAAATTAGGATGCGTTATGACGAACGCGATAAGGGTATTCACAGATTGGCCCATAGCCGGCGTGATGGAGGCTTAGTGGAGGGCCTGCAACTGGAGTAAAGTTGGTGTTTATAAATGGAAAGGTTTACAACCGGGATTATACGGTATGGACCAGAGCTTAAATTTACGCAGGAAAAGAGATCTGTAAGGTGTCCTAAAAGCGACGTTCTGTCAGAGTGTGAAAGTCTGATGAAATTGGACAAAGTTTTACCTCCACATTATGGGTTAAAATAATCCAAAGCTTTTTTTATTTTCAGGCCCACTATCTATAAGAAGGAAATAACTTAAAACGGTTTTATGTTTTGATCTTTCTTGGTAGGATCACTATTCTTCCTTCTGAAGAGACGTTCGCTTCAATGTTTGAGCCACTAAGAACCTTTCACCAAGAATTCATGGCGCAGTTTAAGGACACGAACTGACAAGTTGGATTTAATGGATTTAATTTCCAGTGATGCCAATATTCAATCCAGACTATTTGATCTGTCTCCATCCTCATTTATCAGGGGAAAGTTTTCTGATGTAAAATATATCTTTGAAGAAGCAAAACTCTTGTTTACAAATTTCTATAGCTCGAGAAAGGTTCAAAAGTTTTGATGACTCTTCATTCATCCAAGATTTTCAAAGTTTTTCAATTGAGTTCCCTTCCCAGATTTGGCTAAGTATATCATCCCCCCGAAAAAAGACCCGTAAATGTTCAACATTCCTATAATCCTCTCACGACTTTTCCCATCCTTAGGACACTGAAGTGTGCTTTTCCCATTTCAGCGTTTTTCCGGCCCATTCCTTGTGACATTCCAGACACAGATAAGAACGTAAAGAAATCCTGTTTAACTAGTAACTTTATTGAATTCTCTTAGAATGCTGATTTTGCTGACACAGGTACTATTTTACCTTCAACTGAAACAAGCCGCATTAAGTAGATATCACGTTGTGAAACAACAAATTAAGGACGAAACAACTTCTGCGCCAGCCTCCTTCCCTGCCGTCCTTGGCGATATCAGATGTGACCTCACCTGTAAAGCTTGTCGGAAAAATTTGCCAAAGACTATCGCACTCGGTTCCAACCATCTTCTGGTAACTCTGATAACGCGAACTGGCCTGGGTATAAGGCTGCTTCTGCGCTTAATGTACATAATGAATATATCCTTTTTTGCGCCACAATCATAATCATGACTAATTCTAAACAAGGAATTTAAAGGATATCTTTTCATTTTGGAAGCATACTAAACCATTTAGTTGTAGTATCTGACGAAATACCGTGGTTCAACTCATCAATGGTTTAAATTTTGTTTTCCGTTGTTTTGCGGTATGGTTATATGTACGATTGCGCATCAGAGTTTAAAAAAAGGAAAATAGCGTTTAAACCAATGAAAAAATTGCACCACAACATCTATTTACGGCCTTTTTTATCGAGTAAAGCCGCAATAATAGTACACAATCAGCCACTTTTTTTAACGAAGATGACTAAGTCATTAGTTGGCTTCCAAGTGTTACACAAAATACATTAAAGCGCATGAAGAGGAATATCTCGGGCATTTTGTCTTCGTTGACGTTTAAATAATACCAGGAGGGCTTTTCTGAACTCTGGAATTCTGATTGTGTAAACGATGGGATTAACTAGCGAGTTCATCATAAATAGAATATCTAAAGAAAAATCCAAACGAAACATTTCCTGTTCAGAAAGCAATTTCATGCCCGATTGAGCAAGAAGAAAATTAAAAACCACAGATGGTAGCCACATCAGTAAGGATACGATAGTCATTATGAATAATGTTACGGTCAGTTTCTTTTGTCTGTTGGCTGCACCATGGTGCTGAGGATGCGCTCCACACAAAAATTTAACAACAATGGAAAAGTAAGAAACACAGATAACAAATAGACACAAATAACAGTATGATTGCCATACGTAAACCTCGTATAACAATTCTCCACGTCGTAGTGTAATTATTGAAATGGCAGTTGATAACATTGCAGCTGAAACCCAGACACCAGCAATTGTTACTCCGTAGACCCACTTTTTGATGAGGCGATGCCTGAAGGGACGAATTGTTGCATGCATCCGATCAAATGAAATGACTGCAATGTTTGTTAGAGAGGTCAGAGGAAACCAGTGGAAGAGAAAAATAGATATCCCAAACAGTTCCGGGCTTAAGTTCATTTTCACAATGTCGCATGTTCTTGAGAGGGATAGAAATAGAGAAAGGTGAGAAAATCCTCCGACGAACATATCAGCTATGGTCAGGCTTATAACTAGGTACATGGCACGAGTGCGAAGACTGCGTTTTTTTATAAAAAGAATGATTGATAGAAGGTTCACTGTTACTATAGCAACACACACGGTAAGGGATACAGCAAACCAGGTGATGCACTCGGATGACGAAACCCGCAGCATGACTTGTGTTCTTTGACGTCTTTTCGCTTCACACTTTTACCAGTTCTCTTCTGTTGTTCGTCTCCCTTTAGAAAGAATTGAATTTGAATTGAATAAAGTTTCAAATTTGTTAATTAGAAAAGAAAAGTAGGAGGTGAACAAAAAAGGCTGACGTCTGTTTTTCAAATTTTCAAACATCAGTAATGAAGATACATGAATGACATGAATAACAATTCCTCGAATCAGGAATCTCACCTTTAACTTACAGTTTTTCAAATTGTCTTCACAAAAGCTGAAGTAAAAACCCTTGTTTTCACCTGTGGAAAAAATATCAGTGACGTTTGAGGGGAGATTAGGATAAATTGTCTAGTTTCGAGTTCGCTATGACCGCTGAATTAAAGAAGTGAAGACGCATCTTTTACAGCCTTAGCCTCCATCTGAAGTAATATATTCACAAATTCCAACAATAAAAAGACCTATTTATTACTCTGTCTATTGTGCATATTCAAATTTTGAACACTTACTTGCCGGAATTTCTGAATATTTTACTTTACGTCGAGGCTAACCCTGTATAAATGTGCAGTTAATGTTTGTATTCAGCGGTAATTTTTAATTCGAAACTGGACTATTGGTTGAGTAAAAGCTGAGGGCATTAGATTTCGTTTCAGCTGAATATTTAAAACTAATTAACGTCGGCGCTCGTTCACAGTGAGTATAATATTAATAATGGTGGACGTGGTTTATGTGCAGCATTTCCATAGAAAATAGCTCTACATCCAGCTGATAAAATAATAGACAAGTATATATCTAAGCGATGTTTTGAAAACCTTACGCCTTACGACTAACGAAATTTACAGTCATTTGAGTGAAAAGGCATCAAAAGGCAGGTTTCTTAAGCCCGAAAAGCTCCAAAATCACAGTAATGAAGGAAAAGGAAAGGAGAAAAAGAAAGAGTGAGGAGATCAGGAGAGGAGGAGGACAAAAAACAAAGCAATGGTTGCACTCTTAGTTTTTATAATGAGCTACTTTGGATATAGTTTTTGGCCGAAAGAAACTGTTGGACGGAAAAGGTCCATTTGACGATAACGTTTTCAAAAATCGGCTAGATATATACAGCTAAAAATAGATTATTACATCAGGAGAAAAACATGTTCGTGGTAAAATGCAAAGGGTACTACTAACTAACTAGTTCACTAACAATCTAACTGTGGCTAAAACTGTATTTGAATCTATCACATTAATACTTTTTTTAACATTTCAGGGGCACCCAACGAGAATATAGTTCAAACCCACTTAAACATAGCATTGTTAAACGTATTTTAGTATTTAAACGGTAGATATAGGCATATTTTTATCCCCTAAACATTTTTCATCTATTCGGATTTCCTAGCTGAAAGTCTAGTGATCCGAAAATTATAGGGATCAAAACTCACCTTTTCGATAATTTCAGCCAGAAAAAAGGCTTCCGAAAATTCTAGGTGACCTTTTTAGGGTAAAAATCCGTTAAAAATAGGCAAATGTACCAGTTTTTGGATGTTCGAAAATCCTAGGAGAGGCAGGCAAGCAAGAAATTTTACAACAAATGTTTCGAAAATTCTAGATCGCAAATCGTCTTCCGAACAGATATTCTTCCGAACATTGTCGTTGGGTGCCCCTGAGGTCTGTTTGGTATATAGGGAGTAATTGATCACCGAAACGAAAATGTGACTATTATTTCAGTTAACCCTTCTTAAAGACAATCAAATGTCCATAGTGAGACCCGAAAAAAATGAAATGTTTCATGCAAACTCTTCGTGGACAATTTCACTCTCATGAAAATATGACTGATGAGGGCCTTAAGTCGTGCCGGCCGGTTACCTGTATGGGTTGGTTTAATGTGCTTATGACTGAATTTATAGTAGCCTGCGTGACAGGCTACTATTTCTCCCCAATCCACATCCCCTTTTCGCTTCCTCCCTATCCCCTACCCCTTTCGACACCTGCTACGCAAGCTAAATTTATAGTTGTCAGTGGTCGCAAGGATGGAGTTGATCTTGTTTTGATTTATCGCTATGTAGTTATTTTCATAGCACGATTTGGATACGAAAAAGAAGTTACTTTGCAGCAAATGAGGTTTAGCCGTGTAACTTAAATTGGAATGTTAACGGAAACAAGTAATGGAGAACATGCGCATAATGCTCTCTGATTAATCTGAACAGGAACTATATGTATAAAGATACGTCATATCTTGGTAGTAAGAAGCCACAGGTAACTTTTTCAAAGAGAAATAAACATTGTAGTTTTAGGTTAATGGAACAAAACAAAACAAAACATCCGCTTGCTTTATCCAGGGTCGAACCCAGGGTTACAAAGTTCGATAAAGTTCCAATGTTTTAATCCAAGATGAAAGTTTAATATTCCAAGATGCTCTTGATACGGTTAAAAATTAATTGCAATGTGTTTCCAAGGTCTCAAAGTTAACATAGTTCCAATGATTATCCCTGATTCCAAGGTATAATAAGTTTACTAAGGTCCTGATCCGTGTCCCATCCAGAAGTCCAATCCATGCCGAAAGCGAGTTGTCGGTCGACGAGGACAATGGGCGCTTTCCATTCAACAAAAATACGCCGATTCAGGAAAAAACCGGAAGTTGCATGGAAGCGAGGCCTAAGAGCCCTTCGGCCTTTGCGGCGCCTGGCGGTAAAAACAAATGGTTGTCGAAAAAAGTTTCAAGACCTAGCAAGTAAATATTGAAGTGGTCAAATTGACACCCGAAAAAAGAACGGGAGCTTAAAAATTTGCAGGTTAAAAGTAAACCAGGTAAAATTCTAATAAAAAGGTACAAGAATAAACCAAGGCGGTAACAAGAAAGTCCTTTACGAAAGTTAAGTTTAAGGTGAAATAATTTTATAACTTTACAAACCGACCGATAGATACAATAAATTCATTTGTTTCCCGGCCCACAGAGACAAGAACCTTAACGTTATGTCTGAAAATAGAGATAAAGGTTATGATCCTGATCCAGGCAAAGGCTTCACCAGGCCCATCTCCAGTGACACTGACCGATACCCTAGGTCATCGTAAGGATTGTGGCAAGATTACTGAAAAATATCTCGCTCTACGTATGCCATTGGCCATGGGGAAATGTTGTTCATGATCTTGATCATGAAGTATCTAAACCTGTTGATAACGACGTTGTTTACGTTAGGCCATGGCTTTTTGTTGTTCCTCCTGCAAAAAATATTGTGTCAAATATAAAGCACGTATGATTGTTCAGGGACCGCGCAGCAAGTTTTCGAGTGGGGGGGCTAAAGAAGAATGCGTGAAGGAAAATTTTGGGGGGGGGGGGGGGGGGGGGGGCATGCTTGTGGATTTCTATTCAATTTCTCTAAAGTGACGGAGAATGCGAATAACGATAAAACTATTGATTTTTTTCCACATCTTCAGTGATGTTGCTATTGGGTCTGAAAATTCACCATCACTAAATTGAAATATCATAGACTGTTATGTTATACTACTGTTATCAACCTTTAATTACTATAAATAAGCCAGAAATCCAACGATTTTGCTTGAGCTGCCTTGAACTCAAGGCTGTATAATTACTGAGCAATTATTGCACGAGGCTGAGTATGATATGAAGAGTTATGCAGATCGAGGGGGTTATCCGCCAAAGCCGAAGGCTTGAGCCCGGTGGATAACACCCTCCGAGATCTGTATATCTTCATATCATACGAAAGCCGAGTTCAATAATTGTTTAATTATTCATTCAAAATATTTACACGGTAAAACAAAACGGTAACTGAAAATAATTTAGTGAATGATATTAAAGTTACTGTACATCATTTACTCGAAAAGTGCCAAAATTACGCTTTCTGTTTGTGTTGCGGTCGGTAAATTCGTTTGCTATGTCAATGGTGGAAAGCCTGTCCGTTCTTTCTTTGTGTATGTTTAAAACTGTCAGGTTACTAAATCGTTCCTGGTTCATTCTTGAACGGAGCCATGTTTTTAGCCTCCGGGCAGTCGAAAAGGATCTTTCACCGGCTGCACTTGTTGCTGGATTTACGAGAATCAGCTTACATAACGTGATTATTTCTTTTATCATTTCCCTTTCTGGGTTGGGTAGCTCTTTAAATTTTACTATGATGTCGTCAAAACGAAAATAATCACCATCCTTCCGCAGCACTTGTAAAATTTCCATCTGGGCGGTTAACACCGAAATATTAACATCATCGTTGTACACTTTTTCCATAAACTTCAGCTCTTCGGATTTGTCCTGCGAATTGAGGGTCTTAATTAAGAGAGACTCCATCTTTGCATACGTATCAAAGCTTGGCTGGTCAAACCGCTGGTCAATAGCGTTCATCATCAAGTCAATAGCTTCAAAGTATATTCGCCTGTAACAGTCTTGTGCGGTCACAGGATATGTTGGCTCTCCAGTGCCAATTTCAATTCTTCTTCGCGCGCGAGTTCTCCTTGGTAACATCGGTCCACTCATGGAGGGATAGCTTTTACTTTTCAGTAAAACTACATCATAAAATGATCTGAAGCTCGTATCGTTTCGCATCTTCTGCAGAACGTCTTTTGTAAGACAAGCTACTCGTTTGCCACTTAGAGCTGACATCTTTGTTTGCTGTAAGGTTCTTGATAAGTTAAGGTTAATGATAAGCCATTTAAAAGACGTTTACTTCTGCTAGGTTAGACGCGAAAAAATATTTTACAATTGTAACGACTAATGCTTCGTTCTGTCTATTTATCTGTGCGTTTGTCTTTGCCAGTAACTCTGGTCACTTTCGAATTAACGATTTTTTGCCATTTTTCACTCCGTTACTTTTGTTAAATTATTTTTTGTTTAATTTATTTTTATTCTTGCAAAAAAGTGGGGGGGCTAAAGCCCCCCCAGCCCCTCCCTCTGCGCGGTCCCTGTTGTTAACCCAGTTGTAAAACCCAAACTTATGACTAGCCGCGTATGATTTATTATGTCCTGCTGGTAGGAGCGGCTGCAGTTGCCTTGCAGTTGTCTTGGCAGTTAAATGGAAATTGGA